CGCTTATGCAAATGAAGCCCGGGAAATTCAAACCCTGGGCTTCATTTGCAAGTGCGGTATGCCTACATTACCCTCCTAGTTCGAACTAGGAGTGTAGTGTAGACATACCCTCACAGAATTGTAGAAGCCAAGAACCAGAGGCGACCTTGAGGGGTCATCGTGTCCCGTCCCTGCCCTCGCATCGATTTCTCTGTTCTATACAGGCTTGGTGCATGTGAGAGGAGATATTTTGGTCCTTCACTGCACCCCGGGTTGGTGTGTAATGGTCAGATTCCTGGTCAGAGTCTCTAGCTCATTCCCTGCCGTATTGTGAAAAAGGAGCTCTAGATCATGGGTTCCCAAACTGGGGGGGCGTGAAGAAATTCTGGGGGTGTGCGAGATGACCCAGCCCTCCATCAATAGCCCCCTCAAGAAAGAGCCCAGTGTGCCATATTGTGAAACAGGAGCTCTAGTTCATAGGTTCCCAAACTCAAGAAAGAGCCCAGTCGGCCTGTCTGCTCAGCCACCGAAACACGTACAGCTCGGGCTGGCTGCGGCAGATTTCAAAATGGCCCCTTAAAAAGGCAATGCCTGTTCTGTTCTTAAAAGGGCAGGGCAATCTTTTTTTTTTTTTTTTTGGCTCAACAAGCTTTGCTGCTATTTGGGGGGCAGGAGGGTTTCTCAAAAATCTGAAAGGGGGACATGATGCCGAAAAGGCTGGGAACCGCTGCTCTAGTTATGCTACTGAGCCCTTGCAGCTACTAGCCCCACCCTGGCAAAACGGAATCATCTCACTCTGCTGAGAATCAAGGGGCTTCACTGCTCACTCTGCAAGTAGCTCATGTGTTTCTCTTCCTTCGGTTCCGTCAATTTCCCACCCTGGAACTTGCTTCCGAAATATTTGGTGCTCACAAATACATCCAGGCCGGGAAAACCACACTCGTGGGGGGTGAATTCAAACCAGGTCCCTGTGAAACACAGATAAGTTAAGAACATAAGAATGGCCACACAAAGTCAGGCCAAAGATCCATCTTGCCCAGTCTTGTAACGGTGGCCAATGCCAGGTGCCCACAGGGAATGAACAGAACGAAATCATCAGGTGATCCTGCCCCATCAGCCTTTGACAAACAGAGCCTAGGCACACCATTCCTACCCATCCCCCATCCTGACTAATAGCCATTGATGGACCTAACCTTCATGAACGTATCTAGCTCGTTTTTGAACCCTGTTAAACGTCCTGATCTTCACAACGTCCTCTGGCAAGGAGTTCCGCAGATTGGCTGTGTGTTAAACCTGTTACCTCTGAATTTCATTGGGTGACCCTTAGTTCTTATGTGATGGGCACAAGTAAATAACTTTCCCTTCTTCACCTTCTCTACATCTGCTATGACTCTATAGACCTCTAGAATGTCTCTCTTTAGTCTCCTCTTTTCTCTGCAAATCACAATTTGGTTGCCCTTTTCTGAACCTTTTCCCAGTGGTGTGGAAAATGTGCCCTTTGAAAGGCCAATTTTTTGTTCCTTTTTTGGCTCAGGGCAATGATTTCTCAGTCCCCTTCCCTCCCAGTTTATTTGCTCCACTCAGATTTCCAGTCTTTTTCATCCATGGCCATTTTCATGCTATTTTCCACTCTGACCTCCTCCACCTAGTGTTTCCTTTCTAAGCCGGTATGGCCTGTCCTTGCATATCCCAGCCCTTCTGCACCCACCCTCCAACAACCCATCTCTAACTCCGACCAAATGAGTCATAATCGTAGAATCCTCGAACACTAGAATGGGAAGGGACCTCGAGAGGTCATCGAGTCTGGCCCCCTGCCCTCATTGCAGGATCAAGCACCGTCTAGATCATTCCTGACTGGTGTCTGTCCAACCTGCTCTTCAATATCTCCAGCGATGGAGTTTCCACAACCTCCCTGGGCAATTTATCCAGTGTTTCACCACCCTGACAATTCGGAAGTTTTTCCTAACGTCCAACCTCAACCTCCCTTGATGCAATTTAAGCCCATTGCTTCTTGTCCTGTCCTCAGAGGCCAAGGAGAACAATTATTTCTCCTTCCCCCTCGTAAATACCTGAAAACCACTATAATGTCCCATCTCAGTCTCCCCCTTTCCAAACTAAACAAGCCCAGTTCTTTCAGCCTTCCCACATAGCTCTTGTTTTCTAGTCAAAGGAGCCAAATCTAAAAGCGATACATTTAACAGCAGAGCTGATTGAAAAAGGAAACAACAGTTTGATATTTTCTTAAGTTTCCCAACTTCTTTTCCTTTTCCAAATAGACCCCCCTTTTGAAATACATTGGAAACATTTGCAAGGCAGCGGTCTGTCAGATACATGTTTGATGTATTGCTCAAAGTCACTATTGAAATAATCATGGGAAATTGTCATTTTTTTGACAAACTTTCTTTTTATTTTGAGGAAGAGCATCAATAACCATTTTGGTAGAATGGGTTCTAAAACTGATTGAAAATTAGGGAGAGAGAGATGAGAGGTTTATGAAAGAACACGTTTTTACCTGGACATGTATTTTCTTTTTCAAATGTGTTCTGTTCTACTGCTGCATAGATAGGGTACGGATTCATGCCATTACTGGCGGCAGCCTTGTGTTCAGATAACTTTTTCCCACGATTCTGGAAAGGGGAGAATTGATTAGTGCAGAAAGAGAAAAGTTCTGGTGGTGTCCCCAGAAATTCGGTTCTTTACTAATTAGTTCAGGTTTGGAATGAAACTCTTTTTACCCAGACTACTATCATCTTCCTGGCTGTTCCCTCCTTCTAGCCTGCACTGTGCAGGCAAACAAGCAAAGTCCGTGGTGGAGTCTTTCAAAGGGACGTGAGTGACTTAGGGCCAGAGTTTCAAAATTATTTGGCTCCTAAAGATGCAGAGAAGCACCTAAAGGGCTTTTCAAAAGCAGCTAAGCAAGTTAAGTGCCTTTGGACATGTCTATGCTGGAGATAGAAAGTCTGCTCATCTGTTTGAGGAAACACAGTGTGTCAGGACGATAAAAATATCGGTGTTGCAGAGGGAGGAGCTTAACACTCACGTGGGTGAGAGTCCTCCAGCTTGGAAGAACACTTCCCGCTCCATTACTTGAGTTTTATTTAAATCAATAGGAATTTGGGAGCAGTGAATCCAGACGAAGCATTTTTTGGGGAATACTCAATTCAATCAAAACATTATTATTTTGGAACTCTGAAATTATTGTGAATTCTGGTCCGATGTGGTGAATTCGTTCATCTGAGGGAAAAAATGCCTAGAAAAGCCCGAGAGGTGCGACAGAGGTCACTCTTTTTATGCAAATAAAAATGTAAATGCTTTGTTTTGCCCTGTTGGAAATGACACGTTTCAACTGACTTGAACTTTATCAAAATGGTTTTGGGTTCAATAATATTTTAGAAAAAAAATCCAATAATGATTTCAAAATGGTCAGTGCTGGAGAATCCACCCTGAAACTTGGCAAGAGGTTCCAATAGTTAATTCCTCTCACTGTCAAAACCAGACCATTTAAAGTCTGAACTTCTCTAACTTCTCTAACTTGTGCTGAGGCTTTTCCCTGCTCGATTGAAGAGACTGTGACAGAAATTTCTATTTCTCTTGCTCTTTTTCACATCGATTTACATTGTCGAAAGCTGAGGATTTGGGGATCAGACGCGAGGCTGAGATCGTCAAACAACCAAAGGGATTGAGTGGCCAAATTCCCACACAATGGGTCTCCAAATCCCTTAAACTGGTCACACTTTGGAAATGTTGAAACACCACAGTGATGTTTGAGAGCTCCTGGGAAGAGCCTGAGACCTACAAAGTTACCATGAGGGGTCAGAAAGCTTTCAAATACGAGCAGGAGTTATTATTTACTTTTTTATTCCTGAATCCCAAGTACTGCCGAGAGACAGAGAGAGAGAACACAATGGACTATATTAAGTGAATACCTGACTTTTCAGTGGTACCCCTCTAGATTTACATAGAAACCCACCAGTTTCAATATATTTTTGACAACGAACGCTTCCCAGACATCGGTCAGAGAGAACACTTCACCATCTGCTGCCTTTGTCACCCAATCCAGCTGCTTTTGAATATCAACTGGAGTCCAGCAAAGATCATTACATAGTTTTTCCTCCAGCGTCTCTATGTTCTTTGCCCAGTCCTTCCCGTTGTAGAGGGTGGATATGCACCTAGGAATGAACCAGAGAGAGATGCGGCTTAGACTTGGGGTGTAGAATAGGGACCCGGCCTTCCTCTTCTAATCTTTGAACCCTCTCTTTCCCATGCAGAATGATCAGCCTGGCATGTTATAGCCCCTCTGTGATGTGACAAGGAATTCCCCCAGGGCTGTCTGGCAGGAGGTCCATGCCAAGAACAAGGAGAGTGACGAAGTCCTCTGCTGAATGCCAGGGGCTGCACCGCTCTGAGCGATGGAGAAACTCCATCATCTGCTTCCCTTGGAAGCTATTCTGACTCGACCCAACAGAGGGCAGTGGTGAGCACACTAGCCCAACCAATCGGAGCATGGCCAGAGCCCTTCTTGAGCCAATAGGAAAACTGCAAAGACTTTCCTGGGTAGCTTATGCCTTCAGCAAACTTTTAGTCACTAAGGGTCACATGGTTCCTCGTGCTCTTTGCAGATACAGGTGGACACAGGAGCCCTGTTTCATTGGCTAGAAGTGTCTGAAGATTTTTCTTTCCCATCTCTTCCTCTGGCCACACCTACACTCAGGGATGGTCAAAGCAAGTTTCGTTACTCTAGTGACTTTAGCCAAGTATCTGGCTTCCACGTCCCTTGTGACCCCCTAACTCTGAGCAGGAAAAGCGGCTCATTCTCTCTTCAATGACGTGCACCTACCAAGTGGAACCCGACACCCCGCACAGGTACATGACGGCGTCCAGCAGGCCTTGTTTCTTCATCTCCGCCAAGGTTCCCAGAAGGGCGATTGTGGCCCGCAGGCCCCCGCCCGATCCTAGCACGGCGATATTGGGCATGGTCTTCTGGGAGAGGGGAAGAGAAAATGACAAATGAAGGAAGAACGCTGAGGCCTCTCTGGTACTCAGTCCGGGGGCAGACCCTTTCAGGGAAGGTATGAGGGTGAGGGATTAGAGGGCAATGCAGGTTCCTAACTCCCTTTGGTTTCCATTAGTCTTGAAATTTGACTCCAACTTACTAGAGGGCTGTACTGTCTCCATGGTTACAATCCTCCAATTCCTTGATGCCTGGGAGTCTGTTTGTACGTTAGAACGAATGTGTCACCTACGAGGATCCGTCTTTGTGCCCCAAAATGTCTGAAGTGCAGGTGGTCACAAAACGATTTTTATTCCTAGAAAATGTGGCTTTCTTGGAGAAACCAAACTGTTCATCAAAAATTAAGGGGAGGGAGGATTGGAGACTTCCCCCAAAATCCCCAAACGATCCCCCTCAGCCTGCCTAGCCTCACAATTGCAAAATGTTGCTGTTGAAATTTAAAGTTTCAAAAGCTTTAATATTTTGATGTCCGTAATGGACTTTTTTTTTACACAATCACCGTTTGTGCATTAGCATTCAGTGCCTTTTGGATGAAAAACAGGGTCAGTGAAAACGAGAGATACTGACTCCTGAGCACCAGAAAAATCAAGGTCACTCTCCCTTAAGAAGACTAGTGTGAGGAGGAAGCAGTGAAAGTTTCCTAAGCTGCATCTGCAAGGCCCAAAGACAGGAGAGGTCAGGTGTGTAGAGCTCCCTTCCCTCCAGGACCACCACTTCTTAATGCTGGGTAACTCTCCTGAGGGGTTCTCCGCATCTCCACCTTGCCAGAAAGAGAATCACCACAGCAGGTAGGCAGCAGTAGTTGGCTTTTACCCTCTGTGCAGTTCAACCAGCAGAGGGCGCTGTGATGCATGTAGGAAGCATGGTACACAGTCCCCGTTCATTACTGATCTGAGCAATCTGTCCGTCAAGGGTCAATAGCGCACTCCACCCAACTCTCTCTCCCTGGGAGTAGCTGAGGGCTGACTACCCCTGGCTCTGCCCTTTCATCCTGAACCATCCCCCCCCCCAAGCAAGGACGCAGGGCCAGTCCCTCCCACCAGCTCATTTAGGGGCCTATAGTGGGAGGCATCTCCCCTGGCCCCACAAAGCCCCGTACTGCTTGGCGGATGTTAGGGCTTTTGCCTCAAGCACCTAAGGCCCCAAGTTTGAACCCAGGATGCAAGTTGTGTGTGTCTGTGACCATGGGCTGCCTCCCTGCGGTTTGGGAACATCCCATTGCACAGGGAACATCTCCCTCCATGGGCCCGATGTTTGCGGGATTTCGTCCCACCGTTCCGGGCACCTCCATCCCCAGAGGTGGGGCTAATATTCCAGCTGTTCCCCTTAGCGCTGTGGGGCATGACAAGGCCTACCTCATCGCAGGAAATGCCCAGTTTGTTGAGACACTCCAGGACTTTCACCTTCCTGCTCCTGGTGGCTTCTTTCTCCCCCTCCGAGAGCTCCGGGGAAAATCGGACGCTGCCATCATCCTGCCAAAAATAAAAGGCCAAAGATTAAAAGTGCGATCCCTTCAAAGGCAGCCAGGAAGTGGAGATTTCGGGGATGGGTGCAACTAGTTTAATCGCCACTGGGCAGATTTGAAGCTGGGACCCCAGGAGCTGAGTACAGAAACCTCTACCCTTGAGCTAAAAGCCTGCTGACTCGCAGCCTGTGCTGGAGAGGTGTCTTGAGCTTAACAGTTGCTCTGGTCTAGGTGCCACTGCATGGGTCTCATACCTCCCCTAGGTGAGCAAGCCCATCCGGAGCTTCAGAGACCCATTGGAGATCACAGACGAGCCCCACTTGCAACCACCACTGGGCAGGTTTGAACCTGGGGCCTCTAGACCCGAGTCTAGGAGCCTCTATCCACTGAGCTAAAAAGCAGCTGCTGTTTAGCTCACTGAGTAGAGGCTCTTCCATGTAGCTTCAGAGGTCCCAGGTGCAAATCAACTTTGTGGTGGTTACACTAGCACACGCCCCTCAGAAATACCCTCTTTCTATCTGTACCATGCCTGTACCTAGAGACCTCAGCCAAGGTCCCAGGCTAAACTGGACCAGTGACAGGTTTTCCAGGTCACTGAGAAATTGGGAGAAAGGGGATATCAGTTTGAGTTGCAATTGATCTAAAAATTGCAAAAGGTTTGTTCAAATGAAAAGAAATCGAGTCTGGGTTGAACACAGCAAGTTTCTGTAAGATCAGTAATTTACCGCTCTTGGCTGAGACATTTTCACAGCTTCTTCTAGATTTCCTTGCAGAGATACTTCTCCCTTCGGTGGTGAACAGACTCTTCAAAGAGCGTTGAGGTGGGAGGGCCCAGTCAAAATCTGACACCTGTTTGCTTCTGTAACAATTTCAGGGAAAAGGAACATTGAATATAGCAACAGAGGAATATTGAGAGGGAATTGCAAAGGCAACTAATAGAGGTACGACCCCAAATCTTAATGGAAGTGTAAAAGAAAACAATCTAACTTTTAGCTTTATTGTTTAGAGGTTCTAGTTTCCAGATATAAAAGCAGTAGTGACAGCATTCGTCACAATACAATTTCGGTTTATATTTGGCTGGGGATGGTGTAGTGTTTGGGCTTTGATAGACGTATCGAGCAATAGTAGGAAACAACAAAGGTAGATTATGAAATTTTTTATTAGGTTTACCTGTCAGCCATTTTGAGAGAAAAAAGTGTATTATTATTATTATTATTATATAATGTTGGAAAAGAGGAAACTTTTGAGAGAGGAAAAGTAGGAGAGATGAGAGATGGGTTATGAAAGATTTTTGGTAAAGCTTAGCCATCAGTCGTTTTGCGAGAAAAAAGTTGATCGTTATTATGCTGTTAGAAGAGGGGTAATTTTTAAGATAAGCTGAGAGAAAAGAGAGACTTTCATGAATTTTGGTTTGAAAAAGAAAGATTGTTGGTTAAGTTTAGAGGATACATGAAAGAAAGGTTAATTTACATAGAAGACAGAGATGTTTGTTTTATACTTTAGTAAATACAGGCTAATACTAGGATTAGAAAAGAAGAAAAATTAGGAATAGTTTTTAAAATGGAGAAGTCTGTGTTTAAGCACACAAATTTGTGTGAGAATCTAGTTTGTTGTAAAGATTAGCAAACGTCTGGTAACGTGGGGATTAAAAGGAATAACAGTACGGAAAATATTAACAATACTGGAAAATTCTGTGTTTAGTTACACACACTTTTGTGAAAAAAAACCAACAAATGGTCTGGTAGCATTTTATAGACTAACGAAACATGTCGATGGGGTCATGAGCTTTCCTGGGCACAACCACTTCTGCAGATGACCAGAGTTATGAGTTGGGGATATGAAAAATCGAAATAAATAGGAGAGGGGAAGGAGAGGGTGGAGAGAAAGAAAAAGGGAGGGGTGGGGAACAGCGTCATTAAGTATCTGAGAATTGGTACTTAAACCTAAGCAGAGAAAAATCCAAGTCAATAGATAGATTGCTAAGACAGGGAGGATACCACTCAGAGAGCTGGTAGCACCTTTCCTGGGGTATGTCTACACTACAGCGCTAATTCGATCTAGCATGTCCACACTGAGTGGACCCTGAACCGAGGGCATCAGAGTAGGACTTAGAGCGTGGAGCTGCTGTCTCAGGCTAGCCGAGGGCTGTGCTTAAAGGAACCAGACCCCCACCCCAGACAGACAGTTCTAGGGGGTTCCCCGCTTGCAAAGCAGTCCTGGCTTGGAGTGCCCGGAGTGCCCACACTCGGCACATCACAGCACTCGGCCATCAGCCCGGCTGCACATGCCGCAGGCCATCCCTCTCCAGCCTCTGACAAACAGAGGCCAAGGACACCATTTTATCCCGTGGCTAATAGCCTTTTATGGACCTAACCTCCATGAAATTATCTAGCTTCGCTAGGCTTCTGTACATTCCCTTCACGTATACCCTACTTTACGTACACTACATCGATGACAACTTCATCAGATGGACCGACAGAAAGAGACTCTTAAAGAATTCCACGAGGATTTCAACAACTTGTACCCTGCTATCAACCTCAGCCTGAACCAGTCCGAAATCCATTTCTGGGACACTACAGTTCAGTTAAATAATGGACACATTTCCATCACCCTATATCGGAAACCTACCGATCGCTACACTTACCTTCATGCCTCCACCTTCCTCCTCAGACACATTTTTCAATTGATTGTCACAGCCAAGCCCTACAATACAACTGGATTTACTCCCACCACACAGACAGAGACAATCACCTACAGGATCTTTACAGAGAACTCCTAAACCTGAAATACCCACTTGGGAAAGTGAAAAAACAAATTGAAAGAGGCAAAAAAAAAAAAAAAAAAAAACTTCAAGACAGACCCAAAAGAGAAAATAACAGAACTCTACTTGTAGCTCCCTACAGTCCACAACTCAGACCCCTCCAATGCATTACACACAATCTGCAACCCATCTTAGAAAATGTTCCCTCGCTGTCAGAGGCCTTAGGAGAAAAACCTATTCTTCCTTACAGACAACCCCCCTAATCTGAAACGTATTTTTTCTGATAACCGTGCCACGCAACCACATAGAATCATAGAATTATAGAACCATAGAGCTGGAAGAAACCTTAAAAGACCACCAAGTCCAGCCCCCTGACCAAGGCAGGACCAATCACAATTAAATCAACCCAGCCAGGGCTTTGTCAAGCCGAGACACATCATAACCCTCCAGGAACCCCGCCCTGCAACCGAAAAAGATGCCAACTGTACCCACATATCCACACTGGCGAATTCATCACTGGAGCAAACAACGTAAGGCACAAAATCAAAGGGTTATTTGACTGCACATCTGGTCGTTTGATCTACGCCATCAAATGCCAGCAGTGCTCCACTGCTATAGATATTGGACACACTGGCTGGTCTCGGCGGGAAAGAATCAATGGACACTAATTAGATATACGTAAAGGGCATGTACAGAAGCCTGTTGGTGAGCATTTGAGCTTGCCTAGCCGCAGTCTGACAGAGGAGTAACGGTAGTTCGGAATAGGACCCTAGTCCGAACTACCTAGTTCGAGCCCCGTGTAGCCGCGCTACACGGGGTTCGAAGCAGCGGGGATTTAAAAATGGCGGCTCCCCGCTTATGCTAATGAAGCCCGGGAAATTCAAATCCCGGGCTTCATTAGCAAGTGCGGTATGCATACATTACCCCGCTAGTTCGAACTAGCGGGGTAGTGTAGACATACCCTCAGATACTTAATGATGCTCTGTATCCCACCCCTCCCTTTTCCTTTCTCTCCCCCCTCCCCTTCCCCTCTCCTATTTATTTCAAGTTTTCATATCCCCAACTCATAACTCCGGTCATCTGCAGAAGTGGGCTGTGCCCAGGAAAGCTCATGACCCCATCAACATGTTTCGTTAGTCTATAAAGTGCTACCAGACCGTTTGTTGTTTTTTTCTGTAACAGACTAACTTGGCTACCCCCTGATACACTTACGTGAGAGTGCAGTTTGTAGTAAAGATCAGTAAGCCAGCAGTAAAGTGGGAATTTAAAAACAGTATAAATAAGATAAAGCTTTAAAAAGGTGTATAGACACAGTGGAGTCAATGCAAAGATGGAGGAAAAGATCACTGTTTAAATTGAAAAAGAGAGAAAAGGCTTATTCGATGAAGGCAGGCTAAGAGAGAACCACTCAGGAAAGCTATAAATATTAACGCTAAGGTGAAGAAAGAGCATTTAAAAATAAGAAGACTATTTTAAAATAAATTCAATATTAAGAGAAAAAACTATCAAGGTAGGTAAAAAGAGAAGCGTTTAGCAGGAAAAAGGATTATTCTAGAAAGGTGAGTTAAGACAAACATTTGAAACCCCTTTCAAACATTAAATCCAAAGGGAGGAGAAGAGGAGGTTTCATTGTATCTCTCTACGTATTTCGGAGAGCCTGTGTCCGTCTGTCTGTGCAGCTGAGTGTTTGTTGGAAACTTAAGGCTAGGATCAGTGAATGTGGGATGTGGCTTCTTCTCACCCTAAGGTTATCTAAGGCCGGGGTTTGGTTGCGGCAGGACAACGGGAGGTGCCTGGAATGGGATGGGTTTCCAGAGCACGGCAAGGGAGGGGCGCGGAGAGGAGGCGCCATAGCACAGACTCACCACTGGGGGCAGCGATGCTGCAGAGGGACCCCTGGGGGCAGCTGTGGCAG